GATGTTTGCCTCTCTGAAACAACGCAAGCAAAGCCATAGTAAAAGAGCAAGCACAGCGGAAGAGAGCTGCCAAAGATCAGCTTCAGTTGGCTGTTGGTCTCTGCTGGGAAGGAGAAGGGTCTGGGCGGTTCCAAGGCCACCAAACAGTTCACCAAGTTCCTTTTAGCTGCTTTTTGAGTTGTAAGAGGACAGCGGCTGCCACTGATGGAGTTGGTTTTGCCAGTTCAATCAGATTTTTTTGAGGCAGGAGAGAAAGAAAGAAAGAAGATGAAAGCTGCTGGAAGGTGTGACAGCAGGACTCTAATACTGGTGTTTGGCACTTAGCGTAGCCTAAATCTCATTCCCTCTTGTTTGATCTGATGGGAATAACAGTCTGGCTAAGGATTATCAAGGGCTGACATTGAGTGATTTTGGGTGCTGCTTCTCCCTTTCATCTGAAGGGATCTGGTTATCTCTGTCATCTTTTTCAAGGGCTTTTTCAAAGCAAGGAGATAAAGTCAGAAAGGGATAGCAGTATTACCATCTGGATAATGATGCCAACCCACAACTTCACCAAGAGGTGTCAGAGCTTTCTAAGTTAAGCAGGTCAATATGTTTTTTTTCTATTTTCAGCTTTTGATGACTTCTAAAAACTATTTGGGCCCAACAAACTTTGGGGATTGTATAGAGAAGACAGGGACACTGATGAGTGGAAGGGGAGAGATCAGCAAGATGAATGACAGTTACAGTAAGAAAACTGGCACAGGAGTTTCTCAACTGTCTTTTTAATACAAGGGACTATTCTTTGTAGGAGATAGAACAGAATAGAATAGAATGAATAGGATATTTCAGTTGGAAGGGACCTACAGCGATCATCTAGTCCAACTGCTGACCACTTCAGGGCTGACCAAAAGTTAAAGCATGTTGTTAAGGGCATTGTCCAAATGCCTCTTAAACACCGACAGGCTTGGGGCATCGACCAGCTCTCTAGGAAGCCTGTTCCAGTGTTTGACCACCCTCTGAGTAAAGAAGTGCTTCCTAATGTCCAATCTAAACCTCCTCTGGTGCAGCTTTGAACCATTCCCACGTGTCCTATCACTGGATCCCAGGGGGAAGAGATCAGCACCTCCGTCTCCACATCCCCTCCTCAGGAAGCTGTAGAGAGCAATGAGGTTGCTCCTCAGCCTCCTTTTCTCCAAACTAGACAAGCCCAAAGTCCTCATAGGACAAGCTCCTCAGAGGACATGCCTTCCAGCCCTTTCACCAGCTTTGTTGTCCTCCTCTGGACACATCCGAGTAACTGAACATCCTTCTTAAATTGTGGGGCCCAGAACTGCAAACAGTGCTCAAGGTGAGGCCACACCAACGCTGAATACAGCGGGATCATCCCCTCTTTTGACTGGCTGGTGATGCTGTGTTTGATGCACCCCAGGATGTGGTTTGCCCCCTTGGCTGCCAGGGCACACTGCTGGCTCCTATTGAGCCTGCTGTCAGCCAGCACCCCCGGGCTCCTTTCTGCAGGGCTGCTCTCCAGTCACCGCTCTCCCAGTTTATACTTGTGCCTGGCATTACTCCATCCTAGGTGCAGAATCTGATATTTGGTCTTGTTAAATTTCACCCCATTAATCATTGTACAATGCTCCAATCTGTCCAGATCCCTCTGCAAGGCATCTTGTCCCTCAAGAGAGTCAACAGCACCTCCCAGTTTGGTATTGTCAGCAAACTTGCTGATGGTGCATTCAACTCCTGCATCCAGGTCATTGATAAATATATAGAACAGAACCAGCCCTAGAACTGAACCCCGAGGAACACGGCTGGTGGCCGGTCACCAGCCAGATGTAGCCCCATTCACCCCAACCCTTTGAGCCCAGCCCTTCAGCCAGTTCTTCACCCAGCACACTGTGAACCCGCTGATCCCACAGTTGGACAACTTGTCCAGAAAGATGCTGTGAGGGACAGTATGACAGGTAACCAACATCTAACATGTTTAACGATTACTGCTGACCAGAGCACTTGAGTGCTGACCTGAGTGGAAATGTGAGACACATCTGACTCTTCTGAAGCATCGCCCCTCATCTTGAGGGGATCCTTGAGCCTTCCCTGCCTGCATCTCCCCCCTGCTGCTCCGTCTGCTCATGATACACTCTGCCCCTCATTGCCACGAGAGGCCAGTGTATCTAAAAGGCACGTTTACCTGCTGTCCCTTTCACCCAGTCTCACTTCTTCTCTTTAAATCTTGGGATTTAAAACTTCCCTGCCTGGTCTCTGCAGTCCGTCATGCTGATGGCCTTTGCTGGGAGGGAGGTGAGCTGCACCCAGAGCACTTTGTGGCTGCAGCAAGCAGTTTTTAGTTGTTGCCTCTTTCCATGTAGGCCCTGTGCTGCTCTCCAGAGACCATCGGGAAGAGCAGGCTGAAGGTTTTCAGGGAGCTGACCAGGTGCCAAAAGTCAGCTTTATTTTGGCTAGATAAAATAAATATTCTTTCCCTGCCTTTCTGGCTGTAATGGGGGATAAGTTTTCTCTTGCTCTTTGTTGATGTGCAAAAAATGCCAAGTGACTCTTCAGAGTGTGTCAGTACCTGATGTGAACCCCTCAGCAGTAACTCACTGGTAAGTTGTTATCAAAATTGAAGAGCTCTCAAGTGCATCCCCAGCCAACACGAGGGAATGTTTCTTTGCTCAGTCAGTTTATTCTTCTGAAATCTCTCAACTCTCTCCAGTAATACAGTCCATCCTCCTTTTGCATCACCTCAGTCTCAGACAATGTGCCCTGGGTTTCAGCAAAGGGGGAGTTTGAAGTCCAGCTGCCCCGTGGCTGCGGTGGGTGGGGGGCATCACCTCCTGCCCGTGCTGTTTTGCTCCCATCCTGTGCTCGGCACAGTTGCACGCTTCCCTCTCCCCGTCAGACTCCATTAGCGACAGGCCAGGGACTCTGACTGCACGTGTGTGTGTGTGCGCACACGTGGACGCCCAACGCGTCCTGTTGCACTCCGGCAGGGAGGCTGACGGATCGGTGCCTGGCTTTGATGGAGGTGGGAGGTGCTGGCAGGAGCGGATGCAGCCCCAGGACCAGCTCCTGGGGCCGGGCTGTCATCGCTGCCACAGGCTTCTGGGAACCCAAGGCTCAGACTCATCCTTCCAGCGAACCCAGTACAGGCTCTTGGCCTCGGAGCGTCTCCCACTTGTTAATAAATGGACTTTGCTGGAGATGCCCAGCAGCGCTCTGGCAGGGGTGGGGTTTAGTTTTCATTGAGGAAGTTGAGAGCCCTTGCTGGTTTAGCTTTACTGGCAGGCAACAAAGTGTATCAGGACCCTGCTTCTTCCTGTTCTGGTTTGCCAGGTTTGCCAGGCTTGGCTGCAGCTTCCCAGTGATGCAGCACCCCATGGGGATCCAGGCCTCTCCTCTCTCGCCATCTTACTGCAGGAGGAGACCGTATGCGTGTGTGAAACAGGCTCAGTCTCACTCTCGAGTGTTTCTGCTTTCCTTAGGCCTTGCCTAATTAACTGCCTGCTCACTTCTCATCACCGCTGGCTGCCAGCAGGCACGCAGGGGTTGGCAGCGCTGCCTTAGGTCCCCTGAACTCTGTGCGGGAATGCGGTATTTCACTGCGAGCCTGGCTGTTGGAAGGAGCAGCGAACACGAGCACAGCTGTGCCCCCCCGGCCCAGCCCACCACCTTGCAGCAGTTGCCGTGCATTTGTATGCACGACTGCTACCATCGCCCTCAACCCCACGGCCCCCTTCGCACCACCAGAGGCGCACGACGAGCGCCCACCTTCCCCCAGGGGCACTGGGGATGTTCCAAAACCCAGCGGACCCCTCCCTGTGTGTCCTAGGCGTCCATAAAGGAGCGCAGGCGACAGCCCCCAGGGCTGCTGCCCCGCTCAGTGACCCAGGGAAGCTTGGGCCCCGGCAGCAGGGCCCGCGGCCCGGCGGGGTGCTGCCTGGGCACGGCCGGCAGGTCTGTGCCAGCAAGGCTGTACCAGCGCTGCAGCCGGCACCATCCAGAAGAGGAACAGCCGGGTACCGGGTGTTGTCTCAGTCCCCACTTGAAACAGGGGCTGTTGTTCGCGCATGCGTTCTCCTAAATGTCACAATTTTGCTGTAAATAGTGCCAGTGGACCGTAACATAAACAAAGGGTTTTAGAAGGAAACCCCACGACCATGGCATCTATTACATGACGAAATAGGAGAAGAGAAAAAGGAGAGGAAAAATCAATTAAATTAGAAGCCATACTTAAGTATGGCAAAACTAACCTGGCCTACTTAATGAAGGCAAAATCCGAACAGATCAGCATTACAAAGTCTTTGTTCTACAGACAGGCTGTCATTCAACAGCACTACTTACTAGGACCGTTGGAAGAAAGGGGGCCCCATGTTGTACAGCAAGTTAAATTATGTACAGACAAGTGCGTAATCACAGTTGCCCCTTTTAGCTTTGAAATGTCTGTACTTGTGTAAATCACCCAAGACTACCTATATGTGTGACATCCTACGACAACGCGTAAGAAAACCACAGCAGACGTGCAAACGCGCCCATTTGTCTGCGGGTCAGCGCAGCCCTTCCCGCAGGACAGCGGCCCTTCGGAAGCCTCGGCCAGGAGCCCCCCTGAAGGCACCTCGGTCGTTCGCCAGCGGCCCACTTCTCGCGCCCGAAGTCGTACTCCTGGCGCCTGCAGCAGCTGGAGTCTATCCTTTTCATTTCTAAAGGTTACCAGTACAGCAACGTGCCCCAGTCTGTGCGTCAGAGCTGTCATTTCAAGCCATCTGCAACATGGTGCTGCTGATTATTTAAATGTTAACTTGTTCGCTCCTCAAAACATGCAAGAAAGGAAAGAAAGATCATGAAACAATTACGTAGAGCTCTGCAAGGCCTTTCTTGCCCACTTCCTTCCACAGAGAGATGCAAAATCATCTGAGGAAAATTCTGCAGTAGGGAAGAAGTCCCTTAAGTTCAGTTGCAGATCCTGAACTTACCATACTTAATTCCTTTAGCTACTTTTCTTTTTTTCTTTTTTTTAGCGGTGCACTGGAAGCTTACGTTCAATCAGTACGAACGAGGGAGGGAAAGGAGTTTGCACCAGTCTATCCCATAATGGTTCAGCTGCTGCAGAAAGCGATGTCGACCCTCCAGTGACTGTATCTGGACAACTCTCACAGTAGGGAACGGACGCTGACACAGTCACGGGCCTTTGGTGCCACAGACGTACTTACGGTTCACGTAAGTGATCCCCTAACACTGCAGCTTTACGATGAAATGTGTTTTCCTGCTTCCTCTATGAAGCTTCTGTCTTCTTGCTTTACGTTTGCATTACGGGGAGTTAATTATACACAAATATTATAAGGAAGTCGTACAAATTTTATGTGCTGTAAATCTACATCTAATAAAAATGAATCATTCTTTAGCATTCCTTTTGAATTTAGAAAGGTGTAAAATTAGAACATACTCCAATTTTACAGTGTAATTGCTGAATCTCAAATAAGGCAGTAGCTCTTTTCCTACAAGTGTCGTTTTGAACAGTTGGATACATTTTAGCCTTATTCAGGAAATTGTACTTTTGAAATGCTAGAATCATCAGTTTCCATCTAAAAATCACTAATTTTAACACAAGGAACAATATTTATAAATAACATAAATGTTTCTCTACTGCACTGCTATTCACTTTGAAATAATTTATATTGATTGCAACTCTCTTTGCTTAAACTGTAATAAAGAACCTTGACCACCCAGTCCTGAATTCAGTATGTAAAATTCTTCAGCAGCTTCCTAACAAGAGAACATCAAAATATACTTCGCATGGGTTCACGTAAAGACTTCCCCGCAGAACGTGCTCGTCTCTGCGGGGCTGACTTAATGATTAGTCATCTTCATTTTATAAAATACGCCACACCAAATTTTAATGAATTTATTTGAAATAATATACAAGAATATAGTGTGCAAAAATCTTAGGGGCAACATCATGTAGACATGTGTCATAAACTGAAATTTACAGTTGTGATTCTTAAAAAAAAAAAAAAAAAGAAACACACAGCTGTTTAGTACATGAAAAGCCATGATTGTAAAAGTTCACAGCAGAAGCAGTTGTAATCCTAACGCAGCTGCTCTAATTTTAGACAGTTGGAGGAAAAAAAAAGTAAAGTGCAAGTGTTGCACGTATAGTTAAGTGCAAAGTTTGCCCCCACCGTAAAGATGTCTTATGGCAAAATAAAATATTGTAGAATATGTGGCAAAGACAAAACACAGAGATAAAACTCGGATGGTGACAATATCAACAGCACCATTCTTGAGATAACGCTATTTATTCGTTTCATCCTGGCCTGGGCCGTTGTTTCCACTGGAACGAACAGCTCTCACTATTGCCAGCTGGTGCAAAACATCTCGCTTGTGGATACAAGTTATATCGGTGGCAACCCAAGCAGCAGCTCCTGTGCTACCTTACACTACGCTCTCCACTTACTTACCACACGTTCCGGTAACTTGTTGGCATCTGGGCAGGCTGGGAAGCTAGAGGCTGAGAATACATTTTGCCATTTCAGAAAATCCCAGGTTCCAGAATCGTAACTAATAATATGGTTGTGCAATACATATTAATCAGCAATAAGAATCAATGTATATAAACAGCTGTTACATATTTCAAAATTCCCCTTTTTGTACATTTTCTTTTAAAAATAAACATTTATACACGTCTCCTTCGCCTCTTTCTAAAGTACTTTAGCACCACAGGATATCCATTTTCAAGCCTATATTACCTGATACATATATGAAGTTTGGAAGAAAAATAAGGCAATTTGGTTTAAAATGTTGATAGTTTTAGCTTACTTAATGTTCTATTGTAAAAAGCAAATCTGCACTCATATTAGATCATTTCCGACTTGATGGTGCCAATATTTTATGGTCACACAAAGTCACAACAATAGTAAGACCTTGATCTTGCATCCTCTTGCCATCAAGCAACAGCCATTTTGTAAATACAGAGTTAACAGGAAAATTCTGGCTTAATGCTGCTGTGAGCCCTGAGAAAAGAGAAGAGAAAAGCAGGTTAGCGGTTACCCAGCAAAGGGGAAGTAGACATTATCTTAAATCTAGCAAACACTCGTTCGGAAAGCCAGAAGTACTTGTAATCACTGGTCAGTTATTCAGAAGAAAACAAAAGGCCAAAGCACATTATTTTATCCCCTGATCATCAAAAGACCATCCAGACTTCTTTGTCGCAGCCTGGAGTCCACCATCATTACTTGATAAGGTAACCCAGCTGCCAACAAAATTCTTAGTTCACTGAAATAGAACAAAAAAGGTATTTCCTGCTGTAACACGGAGGTAACCGGTTCCACAGATCCCGTTACCTTGGCCTGAAGAGCCTAAGGACAAGGAAAGCCCTACCACAAGGCAGGGTAAGAAAGCCATGCTTGCTAAGGCCAGCCCGTCGCTACTCCTCTCAGTCACACACGAACACCCCCACGGAGCTCACAGGCGCACGTGTGAAGTGAACATGACCTCACCGTCCAGTGCCCGAGACTGCAGACGTGTGAAGGCAGACTCAGTAAACAGTTATTATTTTAACGAAAGCCACAAGGAAATCTAACAGAAGCTGTCACTGTTGATTAAAATAGAATACAGTGAACAGCAAAACAGCCTGTTCCTAGCAGCTGGGACTGGGTGAAACATTCTGCAACAAGGGACTGAAAACTCAGTACCACGTATGTACAGCAAGAAGAAGCACCAAGAAGAAGTCGGAGCATTTCTTATTCAGGCTTAAGGCACCACCTGCATATGCTCGTGAGAAAGTAGCCTCATTTACACACGGAAGGAAAGGGGGTAATTTGAGGATGGAATCTTAAACCTGTGAAGTCCACGCCACACTTGATGCTCCTGCCCAGGCATGAAATGGCTGATGAAAGGACCTGGCGTTCGGTGCACCTCAGTGGATCTTTCCTTCCAAACTACTCTTCTAGCTGAACCCGCAGGTTGGCACAAGCTCCTTTTTTTGATGTTCTCTTTATGTGATGTATTAGCTTGAAAGCCCTTATTTATCTACTACATCCACCACCTACTAAGACGTTGCTGCAGACTTTTAAATTGATGGCCTTCTACAACGCAGGAAACAATTTATTTCC